CCATGGCCGAGACGCAGCCTCCCAGCTGGAAGGTCAAATACCTGAGCTGGCCTAGAAGAGCCCGTGGAGCAGCAGCAGAAGAGCTGAGGTCCCCAACTTGTGCTGCCCAGGCCGCGAGAGGGGACAACGGTCGAGCACTCACTCGAGGAGGGGCGATGCACGAGCCCTCTCGCTGCCTGCCCTGGGCCGAGAACCCCACGCCCTGGAGCCATCACAGTTCCTCCCCTTGTCATGCATCAGCTGCCACGGGGATGGCAGCTGGGAGGGGATCCCCAGCTCCGGCTGTGGGGGGAGTGCTGGCCAGCAGCCCCAGCCTGGGGGATGCAGAGCTCGCTCATTGGGGCTACAGGGGCTGGACCCTGAGGTGTCCTGGTCTGAGAGGCCGGGCAGGTGGTAGCAAAGGGCCTTCTGGTGAAACCTCTTCCAGAGCTCTTTGGCAAGCTTGGAAAACTACAGTTTTGCTCTTTGCAACACTCCCTGCTCTGGGCGAGCACATCTTTCACAACCAAGACTGGGCTGGAAATTGAGACTGGCACGGGGTGTATCTCGCTGCTCGTGTGCTTGCACTGGACGCACAGGGCACCTGCTGGAAAAGGCAGCTGCTGAGCAGCTGAGGCAGCAGGATGCAACTCCTCTGCTGGCAGGTTCAGGAAAATTAGGCCCAAACACCAGCTGCTTGGCACTGGGAGGAATTCAGGGGCCAAATAGCAGCTTGGTGAAGCTGAGCTCCTCCAGGATGAGGCGCCAGAGGAACTGCAAGGAAAGCCAGTCCAGAACTCCGTGTGACAACTTATGAGAGGGAACGGCGATAGCCACGAACTCTTCGAGCAAGTGGCTTTTACCTGCTCCACCGGCGCACTGCCCTGCTTACAAGCACCCAGATGGTTGTGCCGGTGCTCTGGCCAGGGTCACTTGTACACGACACGGGAGAGGGACAACAGCAACCAGGGCCTTGCTTTGCTCCCGGGGAACCTTTTGAGTGCCGATGGCTGTCAAGCCAATGATGATGATGGTAAGCACGCTGACAATAAGCTGTTAAACTGATCTTTTATAATAGTCTCAGGGAAATTTTTTCTCCATGTGCCACGCCAGGTTTGTTCACCTGATGACTTTGAAAATACTGTGCTTCTGCTGAAGCACCTCTGACGCAGCCCAGTGCTCCCCACTGATGCACCAACCACGTCCTGTCGGAGGGTGCACCCTGCGCAGAGTGGCTGTGTGGGGCCGAGGACCCAGTACAGCTTTCCCAGTAGCAAGTCCACAGTACACACCACAACGCAGGCTGTAGGCGAAAACTTCACCTGCTCGAAGTCAGGGTGATCCTTACCGCCGGCTTGGCTAAACCGAATGGCAGCTCTTGCACCTCTTACAACAGGCCAGCAGCCACCATCTTAAGCACACTGACAATAACCTTTTGGACTGACCTTAGGCCTCTAGGCATCACGAGCCCTAACGGGGTGGCCCTTTGCCAGCAGGTCCTGCTCAGCTCAGGTCCATGAACTTGAGGGCAGCTTGCTGCCCGCTGGTTGCTTTTCCCCACGTTGAACACCAGCTTGAAGGCAATGTCTGCAGGCTGTTCTCCTGCTGCGAGGATGCAGGGCCATCTGCCAACGAGTCGTCCGAGTCGCCCCACGCAAGCAGGGACGCGTCCCGGGACCCATGTCCCAGGAACAGCCTTCCCCGTTATCAGCACTGCTCTGGCTGTGCTGGGCCTTGCAGTGCTTCCGCACGCACAACTCCCATCCACCAGCTTGCACTGACCCCGTTGTTTCCATCAACAGCCTCCCCAAAGCCGCGCCTCAGAGCGCCCACAAGCACCCGCCCCGCACAGGTGGGGCCCAGCCCCTGGGGCCAGCTCAGGCTGTTGGGGCTCTTCCTCCCCAAGCGACGCAGGGGAGAGCTGCGCGGGACGCGGCAGGAGAAG